TATATATATATATTTCAGGCTGATCTTGAACTCGCTATGTAGCCCCCGCTAGCCTCAAATTCAAGCTCCTGCTCAGACTCCTGAGTGTTGGATTTGATTGCACACCATTTCTTTGAAATAGTCTATGCTGTTAGCTACCACTATCATAACAAACACCACAAACGGCACGGCTGAAACAGTAGACACTTATTTCTTCACGGTTCTGGAAGCCAAATGTCGAACCTCCAGATGTAGGTATGTTTGGTTTCACTCTGAGCAGCCTTTCTCTTTGGCTTGCAGGTGGCTGTCCCAAAACTGTACCCTCAATAGTCACTCTCTTCTGCGTATTTTCTCTGTTCCAGTTTCCTCCTCTTAGGAGGACACCAATCATAGCAGATTAGAGCTCACCCAAATGACCCCGTATGAACTCAGTTACATTTTAAAATACCGTTCCCCAAATAGAATCACATTTTGAGATCTTGGGGTTAAAGCTTCTACATGGAGTGGGAGGGGGCACAGTTCATCCCGCGTTAGTCTGTAGACCCAGTTTTTCTCTTCTCACTTCTTTTTTTTTTTCCTCATGAATTAAATGTTGTCTTTAATTGAAAAGCTAACAAACTGCCTAGCTACATTTCTCCCCTAAGCCACAAACTCAGTAGTTACTGAGTCTCTAGGTAATATATTCAAAGCTGAGAGGATTACAAATTTAAAAACAAATCAAACAAGTCCTCAGGTCCAACTAAAAGAGTCCTGCTACATATGGGCTAATCTATACCAGTGATACTGCCTGACTCTAGGAGGCTGGAAGACGCTCTAAACCCCCACCCTGGGGACAGTTACTTCAGTCGTCTTTTTCCAGTTCCCACCTTCTGAATGAAGATAGCATTTTGGTAATTCTGTTGCAGAAAACTGTTGTAAGTTGTTTTATTTACAATGCCAATTTTGAAAAGCTCACTAAAGTTAACTGGACAACAACCTATGCCCAAATCACTTTACAAAAAGAGAGCAAGCTCAAAATGTCAACTTTCTACAGAGAACCCACAGTCCAGTTTTATTCAGAGTAAAGAGAACCAGCAACTTTTGCTCAGACCAGAAGAAATTCAGCCATTGGTTTGGAATCTGTAACTCAAACTACACATGCAATGAGGACAATACTATGCTCATACCGTTGTTTTGCTGGTGCAGTTGCCTATTGCTTGTCTAATATAGCTAATTATAAACAGAGCAGTGCATTTAGTATTTGGAACAATCCTTAAGAGTGTTACAGTGTCAGGCACGACATTTCACTTCTCTTCACACCACTGGTTCTCCTCGCGTACCTACCTGGGCTTCCTCCTGTTCAGTAAAGTCATTTTTGATACTAAAAGTCTTGTGAATCTCCTCAGGAGTTTTCCCCTTGATCATGTTTGCAACCGTCTTGCATGGAACATCAAGCAATCCCTTGACGTCTAGGCAGTTTGCTGCCAGAATAAGTTCCCAAAGGGTTCCTTGGTCAACTCTCAGGAATTCTTAGGATGTCATCTGTTTGCTTTCCTTTGTTCTCATCATCCTCAGGAGGAGGAGGAGGGTCATCTTATGGTGGGTGCACCACTAAATGACCTTTTTAAATATCACTACATTGACATTTGGTAGAGGAACTGGGTCATCATCTCCTTCATCGTCCATTCCCAAATCTTCCCACATGGTCTTGATTGTCACAGACTGTTTGGCAATTTCAACATCAACTTCAAATCTCTCTCCATGAGAACTCTGCAACTTAATTGAAGGCATGGCGTTTGGTCTCTAAAAGACTGCGGGCCCGAGGCAGACGAGAGCAGGAAGATGTTCCCACTGGTTGGAGAAAGGCGGCGGCGGCGGATGAAGCCACTGTCTCCTCATGGTTTCCCTTCAAAGCATTTACTATGGTCTGATATTCTGGTGATCATTTGTTTCCCATTCATCTTCTCATGGTGTAAGGACAATGTTGCTCAGCAGATAGTCAGTGTGTGTCTCTTCATTTCTTAGCCTGACTATAATTAGGTGGGGATGTGTCATTAATGCCAGTTAGCAGCCTGTAAGCAAAAGTCATGTGGGTCTTCTCCAGACAAAGCATTTAACTCCTGCGTGGCTCACGATCCTCCCTTCTCCAGGCATAGCAACCAGCGACCTTGTAGGTGGTATCTTTGGGATCTTGTTATAGGTAGAGCTGTCTGCTAGCCAACACCAGACATATAACATGAAGAAAGAATGGTGTTGAGCTCCGAAGATTCCAGAATTCCTTTGTTACATAGCACAATCTAACCCACCCTGGCGAATACATTTTCCCTGGAAAGGAAGCTCTAGAGTTAGGTCAGGGGCTCTGCCTGCTTCCTGAGTGCCTGGTGCAAGGTGGGTAAGCTGTAATTAGTGTGGAGTAAGTGGATGTGCCTGGCAGAGCGGGGAGAGGCTGTGACTGAAACCGCTGTCCACAGGGGACATGGAACATGAAAGAGAAGTAGATCTCTGCTATTTTATGTCACTGAGGTTTGGGGGAAGTTTATCATAGTATCCAATAGCCCATCTTGATGGATACCAAAATTAGTTTTGAGATGATTAAAGGTAAGAGACTTCCAGAGACAAAGGACAGATACACCCTTGGGCCTTCACTCAGGGCCTGCTGCCCCTGAAAATGTGGTGTGTGTGGCACATCACGGTTTCTCCCTCACTTTCCAGAACAGTATCACCAACCTTAAAATTTAGGTACCTCATCAAACCAAAACAGTGTCTCCAAGAACAAACTAGGTGAAAGATGAAACTATTGGGCAGCTGGGCATGGTGGTGTACATCTGTAATCCCAGAGCTCAGGGAGGTGGAGTCACAAGGATCGGAAGTTAGAGCCCACTCTGGGGATCTGCAACTCTGAGACCCTGTCTCAAAAAAAAAAAAAAGCAAGCCAGGGAAGGAGCTTAGTGGGAAGATCCTGGCTTAAAACTTAGTACCACAAAAAATAAATAAGGGCTGGGTATGGTGGCATACCCCTGTAATCCCAGTACTTGGGAGGCTGAGGCAGGATTGCCATGGGTTTGAGGCCAGCCTGGGCTAGCTAGTGAGTTCAAAGCCAGCCTGAACTACATAGTGACTTTCTGTCTCAGAAAACAAAAAAAGACCCTCTCCAAAATAAATAAAACTTCAGGGTTATAAAGGAACAGAGGACAAACAGGCTGCTAGGCTCTTAATCCGTTCCACATTAAAAGCATGATTTTGTGTTTTCTTCAGAGGCAGTTAGCGACTCAGAGCTGCCTTTGCTAAAAAGAATAACTTTTTGCTTGTGTCTGCAGTCACCCAGTGGGCAACTAAAACAGCACACAGCTTAACGTCCCTGCTTTTTTTTTTTTTTTTTTTTTCTGCCTTCATTTTGCCTCTTTCTCCTTTATTACCTGAAAACTTTGGGTCAGATCCCTGCTTAGCCCTTGGAGGGGACTGATTGTTTAGGGAGTTTCTATCAAGAACCGATGGCACTGAACTTCTTAGCCTTACATTTACCTAACCTACCTCATCTTCCTTCAAGACTCAGAGCACCAAGATAAGAAATTCACAGAGACCCTAAACCACCTGCTTCTTTCTCCTGTGATGAGCACCTAGAAGTCTCAGGTCTTCTCCCTCAATGTACGGTCACCTTAGATTCTGTCACAGCCTCTGCTCAGCTGAGAGCGCCCCAAGGCAGGAGCGCTCATCTCACAAACAGATGGCCACTTAAGCCATGAGGATTGGCCCCAGATAGTCAGCAGCCCATCCTAGACCATGTCAGCAGCTCCTTTGTGTCCGTTACTCTTCTCTCATTGCTGGGACAAAATACTCCACACCCAAAATGAAGGAAGCAAAGGTTTATTTAGCTCACAGTTACTGGAGGCTTCAGTCCGTACTCAGCTGGCTCCAAGGCAGAGCGACACATGACAGATGGCAGCAGCTCAGGGCAGTGGAAAACAGCGAAAAGCAAAGGGAAGAGCAGTGGCTACAGGAGCTAGCAAGCCTCTCTCCCTTCTATTGGATTCAAGCTCTCTGCCCCAGGGCGGGTGTAGCACTCACCCATAATCCCAGCATTGGATTATGAATTAATCACAAACTCTAAAAGCCTGCCCCAGTGACTGCATGTGGCTTTGGGGGCCCAGCTAGACACAAAGCATAACACCCTTAAAAACCTTTGGCATAGGGCTGGGGAAACT